CTGTGTCCCCCTGCAGATTAAAATTGGGACCTTGGCAAGCAGGTGTTCCACACACACACACTCTGACTGACTGCACGCACTGCAGTATGGGTCTATTTCACACACGCGATTCTTAGAGTGTCAGTATGGTGAAACTTGCGCCGTGGGATCGATCGACGTCAATGATCGTCGTCCTCATATTTCTTCCCCGACCTCCTCTGCAGCTGCTTCGCTCTCTCATCATAACACTTGCGAGCGGCTGCTCCACGTCTAGCACGTTGATTTCTAGAGCTTCTTTGTGCCTTACAGTCATTGGATCAGCTGTCATCACATCAGTGTCAATCATCTGACAATGTCTGTCAGCTGGTCATCCGACAGTTTGTACAGTCGTTGTAAAAAGGATCCTCAGCCTTCTCGCAAGCTTTGCGCCAAAGTTCCTGACACGGAGACACTATATCTATCCCACTCCTTTTCGCTTACTTCTCCAAAGTGTCCCGAATGTGCGGCGGCGTTTTGCCGGTGCAGGCTCAGCCGCCTTCCGACAGCATCTCATGCGGTTGGGAAATATTGCATCCCCCACTACTCTTCGCCTGCTTCTCCAAAGCTTCCCGAACATGCGGCGGCGTTTTGCCGGCCACGGCAGTTCCTGCCGAGGGAGCGAAAGGATGAGCACACAGGTGCCCGAACTGTTTCGGGCGAGGATCTGGAATCTAAACCCTAAACCACTCAGAGGGTCGCGGTACGAAGTGCGAAGCTGCCTTTCCACTCCTACGGTGTTTGCCGCGAAGCGGCACCCCAAGCGATGGCTCATCGGTGAGCGATTGTAGCCTCCAGGAGCCTCCCGGCGTAGCCACCGAGAGTGGCAGCGTCGCGCGAAGCTGCGGGAAGTTGCTGAAGGGGAAGCTGGGCCGCAACCCTTTGAAGGTAAAACTCAACGGTTTTGAGTTTACTCCAGCGACCCGTCCAAGCAACAAGTTGCACATCTTCGATCGCCATGTAAAGGTAAGCGGCACCGCCGCCACGCAAGACCCCAGGTGTTTGCACCCCGAGTTGAGTCATGATGGCATTCCATAAGTTACGGTAGGTACTATGTGACCCTCTAAAGATTCGCTCCTGCAAGCCAAGATTTTGATATTAAATATCTTGGTCAACTTCCGGAGAGCAAGAGCCAGCTGCTTGCAAATGCCGGCCGCCGCAGCTGCAGCCACTAGACTTCACAGCAGTATCACAATCCAGCCCTTGTTGTGCAAGAAGGCGTGTTTAAAAGGCGACTCGGAAGAGCAGCGGCAGACCTCCGTCAACGCGGCTGCCAGCAGTCCGACAGCTTTAAGCCCGTTGACACACAGACGACTAATGGATCCTTGAACCACACTAGAAAACCGCCCTGTGGATCAAGCTAAGAAGCAAAGCAAATCGTCGTCCGAGACGGCTGTCATAGAACCCTCAAAGTGCAGAAACTCCGGACAAGTAGTCCGAAGTGCCACTCGCGCACAACATCGTGAGCTGCCGGCGACAGCAGCATCGTCATGATGCTCTGACAAGCGAGATCTGCAAAAACGATCGGTCGATCGCGATGGCACAACCTCAAGTGCACCGAAAGACCAGCGGCGGCATGGGGCGAAGACCAAGTACCTTCAACGAAAGACACAGTCGTCGGAGGCTCCACCGCATCGGCGCCGAAACCGGCTTCAGGTTCCAAGCCTTTCTCCCGCAACAGACTCGAGTCGTGTGCCGCCAAAGATCAGCGATGACGGGCTTAGGGAGAGGGGGCGCGCAATCCAGCGCCAGTGGGCGATGCATCCATGCAAAAGACTTCGGGCACATACGACACTCGCATGTCCGTCCGAGCGATCGGACCAAGAATGACCACAGCCAGGCGGACGACGCGGAAAGGCACTTCAACCAGGCCCCTAACCTCTAGGAGAACAGCCCTAGCATGCCCTAGGTGCAGACTCCTGGGGCACTCGCTTCAGAGAGGCAGGCCCCCTTTTTGAATTGGGCACTACTGTGCCTGAGCCCTAATTGGGCCGTCCAGCCGCAGGCTTCTTTCTTTTGCAGGCAGGCCGAGAGCTAGCTCGTAGCAGTCAGTTTGGGAATTGCAGAATTTGGCTCGTGATCGGGCAGACTTTGCGTGAAGGAGAGAACAGGCAACAGTCCCGCAGCCGCAGTCCTCGGCCAGCGGTGACTCTGTTGCATCGTTTACGGTGAAAAAGACAGCCGCACCATACGCCCCTTCGCAATCATCGACCAGGCAGGTCCCCGTGGTGTCGGACAGCCAAAGAAACAGAGAGCGAGATGTAGAGGCAGGTGTAGAGATGTGTGTCTGTGTTTGTGGGTGTCTGCTTTCTTTTCCCCCGGCAGGTCGACAATCATGTTCAGCCCTTAGGCGCATTCCGAACTCGTGCTCCGCTTCAAGGCGAAAGGTGGATCCTGACAGACGTCGCTACTACGACATGTCAGCTCGGGCGTGGTGGGTGGGCCACAGAAAACTGGGCGACAGGTTAAACACGGTTTCTAATGTTCAGCCCTAAGTGCATTCCGGGCAGAACAAAGTGGAACGAAAAAACTGGCTTCGATGGCCTCTTGCGAATGCTTGAAGATAAAAAGCCAACGTTGACTGGTGCTGCACAGCATAAACGCCGAGCGGTTCTCGTCCGTCTTGGGGATCGAGACCAGCCGCAGAAGGATCATCACTGCCCTTGTTGTTTTTCTAAGGGATCATCTCCGATCACCATCCCGGCGAGCCGCTGCTTCGAGCCGCTTCCTTTGCCGGATGGCGGAGCCTGAGCTCTACACGCTCACTCGAGCCAGCCGCTGCGGAGGCGTCACGCTCGCGGCGCACTCACAGAGCCACGTGTTCTACGCACAGGAAGGCGCAGGGGGCCTATCATGTTCCACGCTAGGCCTACCAGGTTCCATGCTTGCCCTGCTCTTCTCAATATTACTTGATCCAAGAATCCTCAAGGAGACTAGACAACTCGGTTGCAGTAACTTGGTCAACACTCAACAACAACTTGTCCATCTGCTTGAACTCTTCACCACATCTCCTGCCTCGAACTTGGTAAATGTGTACTCATCAAGCTGGCTTCTGGTCAGATTCTGCATGCTTAATGAAGACTGTTGTACCTGTTCAGCAAGTCCCTTCTGCTCCTTGTAGAGTTTCTGGGGAACCTCTTCCACCGTCGTGCAGCAATCCAAACAGAAGGCTCGGTGTACCGAGCGTGTGCTGTTGCGGTTGTCTGACCTCGGCGTGCTGCGTCGGTACAGCCTTGGGCCTCAGAGTCGAGGTGCGGTTGCCGCAGAGCATGCACGTGGATTAATCACATGCACGTTGCTCCCGGCGCGGTTGAGTGCTCGCTCCGGGCAGCCGCCTGGGCACGGACTCGGCTTAAGGGGACTCAGCTTGCTCTTCGGTTCTTCCCCCTTTTCCAAGGAGTCCACTTCCACGGGCGGAGGCCTGTCTCGGATCTTCGGCCTTCCCCCGCCACCTGGAGGAAGGTCGTCATTCCGATCCAGATGGGCCAGCTCTCGTGCATCACGCACGCTGGGCTCTTTTCCTTGCGTCCCCAATGGTAGCAATCGGTGGTCGTTCACAACCTCAAGGTAACTGACTTCCGCGTCGGTCATCCCTGCGACTTCCTCGTCGTACACCGGGTGCCGGCTCGCTCGACTCAGAGTCGTTGCCCAAGTTGACATAGCATGCCATGTTGTCGGGCTCGTAACTCTGGCTCTCGGAATCGGACTCGGAGAGGCTAAGGTGTGTCGGCCGAGTTGGAGGTCTGAGTGGCCTTGTCTGCCATCTTGACCGACTCTACAGTCAGGCCCGTAGCTCGTGGCCGGCACCCGTGAGCTCCTTCCGAACTCACCGGCTTGCCCTTGCCTTTGGCCTTCGAGCGCGCCATAAAGCGACAGTTTCGCTCTGCACAAAAGTCTCCTTGTCGTTGTCGTCAAACCCTTAGCCTTCCGAACTTAAGAACGCAGAGAAAGCGTCAAGCTCGACGTCCGTTAAGGAAGCGTCGGCTGTCTGGACCACCATTTCGTGTGCGCAGTGCCGTCCTCGTCCGGATAAGGATCGATAATGTCTTCTACCGCCGAAAGACGGGAGTACGAGGTTCTTTTCTGAAATCATCTTCCCTACCCTTTGCCTTTGCCGGCCCTTTCCTTTTGCCCCTCCCACCTTGGTGGTAAACCTTTGCTCTAGCGCGTGGATGCGGCTATTCATCTTGATGAGCACCTGCTCTGCATCATTCCTGCTGAGGCCTGAGTTGTCGAAGAGCAGGTCGGTAAGGACGCCCTCGCTAATATCAGTCGTCTTGTGGAGCTGCCTCAGCTTCCTAAGCCAATGTTTCCTCCTATCAAGGTAAAAGACCATCGGCTCTCCAGGCTGTTTGGCTAGGACTCCACCGACCCGCGTGCCGAAGTTGCACAGCTCTTTCGATCCCTGCTCGTTGGAAAACCTGAATCTCGTTGTTCCACGCTCGCACGGCAACACAAAGCCACCCCTTTCAGACAAAACCACCCCCCCCCCCCCCCCCC